GGCAAGCACTCTACCGCTTGAGCAACAGCACCACTTCTGGTTTTCTAGTGGTTTATTGGAGATAAGAGTCTCATGGATTTTCCTACCCGGGCTGGCTTTGAACCATGACCTTCAGATCTCAGCCTTTTGATTAGCTAGGATTACAGACGAAAGCCACCAGTGCCCAGCAATATGTGAGACTTTTTTTTTTTTTTTGACAGTTGTGGTGCTTGAACTCTGGGCTTGAGTGCTTTCCCTTAGTTCTTCAGCTTAGGGCTAGCGCCCTACCACTTGAGCCACAGTGCCACTTCCAATATGTGAGATTCTTTTGTTGGTGGTGGTGGTGGTGGTGGTCATGGGGCCTGAATTCTGGGCCTGGGTGCTGTCCCTCAGCTCTTCAGCCTCAAACCTAGCACTCTACCACTTGAGCCACAGCACTACCTCCGGTTTTTTCTGCTTATGTGGTACTAAGGAATCGAACCCAGGGCCTCATGCATACAAGGCAAGCACTCTACCACTGAGCCACCTTCCCAGCCCCAATATGTGAGATTCTTATTTCCAATCAACCACCAAAAAGCCAGAACTGGAGCTGTGGCTCACGGGGTAGAACATTAGCCTTAAGCAAAAAAGAGACTGCCCAGCCCCTGAGTACAAGCTCCAGGACCAGCAAAATAAATAAAAGCATCATTCTATTTCAATAGTTATATATCTATAATTTCACAATTGATTGTTCCAGCACCATGATTTAACCCATTCCTTATTAATATATAAACTTCTAAGGTTATTTATAGCATAGCTATGGATATACAGACTTCCATGTGTACATAGGTCCAGTAGTGGAATATTTGACTCAGAAGATATATTCTTTTTTACATATTGGAATGAGAGGCAAGTCCATGAGACTTTGTAAACAGCAAAAAGCCAGACTGGAAGTATGGCTCAATCCTAACTGTAAATGAAAAAGCCAAACAAGAGGGATAGGCCTGGAGTTCATTGCCTGGTAATGGCACACACACACACACACACACACACGCACGCATGCACGCACGCACGCACGCACACACACACACAGACACACGCACACACACACGCACGCACGCACGCACCCACACACAAATAAACAAGGTGCCAGTGGCTCACACAATCATAGCTATTTGGGAGGTTGAGATCAAGAAGGGTGTGGCTTGAGGCCAGCCCAGTCAGAAAAGTAATCCCCTTCTCTTTTTTCTTTTTGCTGGTCCTGGGGCTTGAACATAGCATGGGCGCTGTCCCTGAGCTTTTGTTCAAGGCTCACACTCTACCACTTGAGCTACAGCATCACTTCTGGCTTTTATCTGTGGTTAAGCAGAGATACCATCTCATAGACTCTCCTACCCAGGCTGGCTCCTCAGATCTAAGCCTCCTGAGTAGCTGAGACTACAGGTATAAGCTATCAACACCCCTTCTCAATTGATAGCTGAGTGTGGTGGCCCATACCTGTCATCCAGCTATGATGGAACCCCTAAAAGAGACAAACTGAGGTCCAGACTCCTTCAGGAAGCAAAAGTATCTCAACCAGTACAAAAAGGGTAGAAGTGACGCTGTGGCTCAAGTGGTAGAGTGCTAGCCTTGAGCTGAAGAGCTGAGGGACAGCGCCCAGGCCCAGAGTTCAGGCCCCACAACCGGACCCCAAAAAAAAAAACCTCTAAAAAAAACCCCAAACAAACAAAAAGGGTGAGACAGATGATACTGCTGTAGGATAGCTGCCTAGGAAGTTTAAACTCCATAAACAACCACAAAAAAAGACAAATTTGTACAGATAAATGTATACCACTATTATTACCCAAGCTCACCAACTACTTATCCTATGGTCACACATCTAAATCACAAATCTACTGCACATGTGTGTACCTGTGTGTGTGTGTGCAGGTAACTGGGACTTGAATTCAGGACTTTGCACCTCACAAGACGCTGGCACTCTGCAATGTGCCATACTTTCAATTCCTTTTTTTATTTTCCTGTGCCAGTTCTGGGGCTTGAAACCAGCGCTTGGGGACTGTCCCTGAGCATCTATGCTCAAGGCTAGCACTCTACCCCACTCGAGCCACAGCTCCACTTCTGGGGGCTTTTGGTGGTTAATTGGAGATGAGTCTTACTGACTTTTCTTCAATAACTGCAATCCTCATGTCTCAGTCTCCTGAATAGGATTACAGGGATGAGCCACAGGCACCCAGCAAATCTTTTTGAGTAAAAACGTTTTCAAGTAGAAAGTTCTTTAAATTTAGTAAATAGAAAAAAACAGTCAATGGTATCACTAAACTTGTACACTTTTTTCTTTTCCTTGGTTTTTATATATCAAAATAATTTACAAATAGGGGCTGGGAAGGTGGTTCAGTGGTAGAGTACTTGCCTTGCATGCATGAGGCCCTGGGTTTGATTCCTCAGCACTACATAAACAGAAAAGGCCAGAAGTGGCACTGTGGCTCAAGTGGTAGAATGCTAGCCTTGAGCTGAAGAGCTAAGGGACAGCACTCAAGCCCCACAACCGACCCCCAAAAAAACTACAAATAAAGTAGAATCAGTAACAAAGATCTGACATGCAATCCTTTTGCTTTTTTGTGTGTCTGATTTTAGAATGTAAACTCTAACACTTGTTTTCGCCCATTGGCTAGCACTCTACACCTGAGCCATGCATCCAACTCCTTGGCATACAATTCTAAATGATGCATTTTTGTTCATCAGTCTTCACTATATCATCCTCTTGTCACACTTTTCTTTTGTCGTTGTGGGGCTTGAACTCTGGGCTTGGGTCTGTCCCTTCACTCTTCAGCTCAAAGTGAGAGCTGTACTGCTTGAGCCACAGCACCACTTCCAGTTTTCTGGTGGTTAATTGGAGATAAGAGTCTGAGGACTGGGACTGGGAAGTTGGCTCAGTGGTAGAGCGCTTGCCTTGCATGCCTGAGGCCCTGGGTTCGATTCCTCAGCACCACATAAGCAAAAAGAAAAAAGCCAGAAGTGGTGCTGTGGCTCAAGTGGTAGAGCGCTAGCCTTGAGCTGAAGAGCTAAGGGACAGCGCCCAGGCCCAGAGTTCAGGCCCCACGACCGGACCCCCCAAAAAAAAAAAAAAAGAGTCTGAGGACTTTTCTGCCTGGGTTGGCTTTGAACCATGATTCAGATCTCAGCCTCCTCAGTAGCTAGGATTATAAGTGTGAGCCACCAGCGCCTGGCTTGTCACACTTTTATACATAGACATACTTTTGTTGCTTATGAAACGAACTCAGGGCCTGGGTGCTGTCCCTGAGCTCCTTTGCTCAAGGCTGGCACTCTACCACTTTTGAGCCACAGCTCCACTTCCTGTTTTCTGATGGTTAACTGGAGGTAAGAGTCTCATGTACCGGGTGGGGAATGTGGCTTAGTGGTAGAGTATTTGCCTAAGGGAATGAGGCCCAGGTTGGATTCCTTTTAATCAAATATGCAGAAAAAGTCAGAAGCGGTTCTGTGGCTCAAGTGGTAGAGCGCTACCCTTGTGCAAAAAGAGCTCAGGGACAGTGCCCAGACCCTGAGTACAAACCCCAGGACTGGCAAAAAAGAGGGGGGAGGGGGAGTTTCACGGACTTTTCTGCCCTGGCTGGCTTCGAACCATGATCCTCAGATCTCAGCCTCCTCTGAGTAGATAGGATTACAGGAGTGAGCCACCAGCACCTGGCTAAGAATTTTTTTTTTAATCTTAGAATTCTGAATGTTTTCATGAGAGGTATACAAACAATACACTAACACACAATGCAAAACTATACATGCAAACCTTTTTAAGAGAGATGAGTTATCTTTAGGAATAAAAATGCATGCAAAGCATGATCCTGGCAAGGAAATAGCTCTAATCAAAACTTTCCAAACTAACTTATCTGTTATTTGAACTCAGGAACTTGGACTTGCTAGACAATTTCTTTCACCTAAGCCCTTTCTCTTGCGCCAGACTTGGAAATACTTGAGCCTATCTTCTCTGGAAAAAGACATGGTCAGTCTTAGTTTCAAAGGAGGCTTCATAGGCTGCCTGGTAATCGCCTGTATAAATTTTGCATCTGTATGTATAAGTGACCAACTTCAAATGTGTGCCTGAACATGTGTAAGGATAAGTGCTTGAGGATTAGTATAACTCTAAATCTTAGCAAAAGTAAGATGAATAGACTTTGCCAGAGAACCATGCAGACATCCAGGTACAGAGAACAAAGGTTTATTGCCTGGAAAGGGGGCCAGCAAGACTTCTTCTCACAAGGGAGGAATGAGAAGAAGCACCGGCTATTGTCTGGGGTGACCTATATAACCTAGGAGGTCTAGGAGGGGCTAGGAGGCAGAGACCCTGATGTGGACGTTTGGGCCAGGGGCTTCATCATGTCAGACTAGGATTTATGGCTACTATCCAAATAGTAGATAAGGGTCCTGCAGCTGCCCAGACCTGAGGGTCACTCTAAGGGGCTCTTGTTGCCTTCTGCCCCAGAGAAGTGCCATCCTAAGGTAAAGGGAGTTGGAAATTGATTACTGCCTTTACTACATGGGCCTAGTGCTGCCTAGGAAGGGAGCTTGCTAAGCTGTGGAGAAGGGAAGGAGTGGACTGGGCTATAGGAAGAGACTCAATTTGCTAACACTAAACTTGTCTCATTTTTATGTGTCAAGATGTCGATGTGACATCGGTGCATGTCCCTCTTAGTGTGGCACTGTTTATTAGTTTTTGTGTGTATGTCCCCGCGGGCGCGTCGTGCTAAAGTTTTTCTTTGGTGTCTACGTAGTACATCCCATCATTCTCGAACAATGGGGACACCTGCTCACACCCTGCTCCCTGGAAGACGGTGAGAAGTTTGGTATAACAAGCAGCCTGCCGCCAGGACACGCCGAAAAGGCAGTTGCGCAAGCCACGCATACGTGTACCGCGCACAAGACCTTTAGAGTCACGCGTTCTCTCTTCCGCCCTCTGGTGGCCCAAGAGGGGCAGAGCTGACAGAACGAGGGGGCGGGGCCAGCTGCGGAAGTGAAGTCACTTCCGGCCTGGGTGTTTGTTTGGACTGGAGAAGGGAGGCGGCGGGCGAAGCGCACGTCGAGCGGGGGAGCGGCGCTGCCTGTGGAGATCCGCGGAGGCCGACAGGATTCGTTGGCTGCCGTCCCCGCTGCCGTGCACTGGGTGAGGGGTCCCTGCGGGCGGTGCAACGAGAAGGGTGCGGCGGCCCTAGTGGTCGAGGGACAGCACCTCGGAGACGGCTGAGGAGCCGAAAGCGTCCCCCAGGTTGCTGGCCCTGGAGTGCCGCTTTACCTCCGTCGTTCCTAGCCTATTTCCGCCCGTCTGAGGGATAAGCTTAGGAAGACTTCATTTCTTTCTCCTCCGAGAAATGGCCGTCGCTTTTTTCTCGTTGTCATTATTGATGATTTGGATCTCGCAGCCCTCTATCCGGGTCCTTGGTGACGCGCGAGGGTTGCCGGGATAGCACTTAGTAGCGTTCCTCAACCCTCAGTCTGTTTCGCCTGGCTTCCCCTCCCGGCCTTGTACCCTTTCTCCTGCCCCCCTACTGCCGCCTCGGCAACAAAGCTCATTGTTTCTACCCACTTTACGCCTGCGCGTCGCCACGCGCAGCTCCTATCCGCTGCGCGTGCGCGCTCCTGCCGAGGGTAGGGTGGGGGAGAGGGGCGGGGAGACTGGCGGGCTGGCGTGGTCCAAAGGAGCACTCCCTAACCGTCGAACGGCCTGTATCGTTCAGTCTTTCTGGCCTTTTTCTTCCATCTCTTCGCCATCCCTAACCCTTACTTGATATATTATTGACTCCCGTGCTCCAGACAGGAGGGCCTTTGTCTGGGGGTGATAGGGAACCCTTACTGTAGGAGGGCTTTGAGCTAAATTAAGGATCTATCCAGGTCCTCTTACCATTCACGAATAAAAATCTCCACAGCCACCATCAGAAAAAGGGGTGGGGACTTGTAAAGTTATTTTTAAAAACAGTTGTTTCAGCTGCCAGCAGTAATCTTCTCATGAATACTAAAAGGTGCCTTTTCTGCTTCCTCGTGTTTTCTTGCTTCCCCTGATTTTGCAGCCCCATCTCACAAAAACTTAAAACTGTAGAATTTACCTTGGGGGGCGATCTGAAATAGCAGACAGCCTTTGACATTTATTTCAGCAAAAACACATTCTCATTTCGTTTTTATTGGCTAGTCTTATGCTGTGAGAGTTGTTTTTCACGGAATTCATTTTAGCTGTTGATCAGGTGTTTAAATTCTCATTAAATAACTTTAGAAATGTCATTGGATGTGAGTTGTGTTTGCCAGTTTGAGTCTAAGGATTTTTGGTGAAATGGTATTTGTTGTTTGGTAGTCCATGCTTGTGAAAGGATTTGGGGGCAGTTATTTATTGTGACCTTGAACACAACTATAAATACAACTATTTCTCACAACTAACACAAATAAAGATAGGTAACATTCCAAAAAATTATAGCCTGTTTATTTGTTTCTTTAGGGGATGGGGGGAATGGCGATTTACTGTAATGGTTAAAAGGCTGTGCATATTGATCCCTGAGAACTCAGATTGAGGTATGTAATTTCTGCCCTCTTTGAGACAGAGTAAGTGTATAGCAGTTTTGTTTTGTTTTGTTTTTTGGGTCTGGTCATGGGGCCTGAACTCTGGGCCTGGGCGCTGCCCCTGAGCTCTTCAGCTCAAGGCAAGTGCTCTACCACTTGAGCCATAGCACCACTTCCTGCTTTTTTTTTTTCTGCTTATGTGGTGCTGAGGAATCGAACCCAGGGCCTCATGCATGCAAGGCAAGCACTCTACCACTGAGCCACCTTCCCAGCCCCTGTAGCAGTTTTTTCCTTGAATAAGTAGTAAGGCTATTCAAGTATCCTTTATGATCCCAGAAAATGATTGGTGCTCTCATTTTTTATACTTTAATTTTAGTGAAAATCATTTATGCAGTGTCCACTATTAGAGAAATTTAGTGGATATTGAGGGAAATAAATTTTTTTTCTGGTCCTGGGGCTTGAACTCAGGGCCTGAGCTCTGTGTCTTAGCTTCTCTGTGTTCAAGGTGAGTGCTCTACCACTTGAGCCACAATGCCACATCCAACTTTTTCTGAGTAGTTTATTGGAGATAAAGAGTCTCTTTCTTTCCCCGACTGGCTTTGAACTGTGATCCTCAGATCTCAGCCTCCTGAGTAGCTAGGATTACAGGCATAAGCCATTGGTGCCTGGCTGCCAGGCATTTTTAAGTGATTTTAACAGATGGTAACTATTTAATCAACAAGTCTAAGAAGTAAGCACTACAATATGATGAAGCCAACTTGAAGTAACTTGACCAATATCACATACTAGGAAGAGAATTAAAATCCAAGGTGCTGTATGTACTGCATGTGATTTTTTTTTTTGGGGGGGGGGGGGAGGGGGTGGAAGGTCCAGTCATGGGGCCTGAACTCTGGGCCTGGGCGCTGTCCCTCAGCTCTTCAGCTCAGGGCTAGCACTCTACCACTTGAGCCACAGCGCCACTTCCGGCTTTTTTCTTTTTGCTTATGTGGTGCTGAGGAATCGAACCCAGGGCCTCAGGCATGCAAGGCATGGGCTCTACCACTGAGCCACCTTCCCAGCCCCAGTACTGCATGTGATTTAATGACATGTGAGTGATATGTAGGTGGTTAATACGGCTGTTTAACTCTAGTCCTTCTGAGTTTAGTTCAAAATTAGTGTCCAAATCATTCATTTCCTATCATCTGGATCACCTGTATAGCAGGTGTTTGCATTTATACAACACAGTTTAGGTTTTTTGTTTTTTTTTCTTAAATTTCCTCATTGTTTAGTGCTGTCCAGCAAAGTAGACATTAACCACATGTGGCTATAGAGAACTTGGAAATTTTAGCTGGGGTGTGTGTGTGTGTGTGTGTGTCTGTCTGTCTGTCTGTCTGTCTGTCTGTCTGTCTGTCTGTCTCTCTCTCTCTCTCTGTCTGTCTGTCCTAGAGCTTGAATTCAGGGCCTGGGCACTATCCCTGAGCTTTTTAAGTTCAAGACTAGCACTCTACCACTTGAGCCGCAGCACCACTTCTGGCTTTTGGTGGTTAATTGGAAAGAAGAAACTGACATATTTTCCTGCCCAGGCTGGCTTCAAACTGCTATCCTCAGATTTCAGTTTCCTGAGTAACTAGGATTACACATGTGAGCCACTGGCACCTAACTGTTTTGGTTGATTTAAATGACTGTATGTAGTTAGTGGCTCTCGTATTGATGGCATGGGTTTGAAAAGGTTTGAATTGCTTCTGCTTATTTTTTATATCAGTTTATATAAAAACATTAGGATGAGGTTTCTTGGTTTTCTTTGGTTCTGGACCTGTAACTTGAACTCAGAGAGGTGGTGCTGTCCCTTAGCTTTTTTGCTCAAAGCTAGCACTCTGCTACTTGTGACACACTTCCACTTCTGGCTTTTTGCTAGTTGATTGGAGATGAGAATCTCCAGGATTTACCTGCTTGGTTGGCTTGAAACCTCAGAGCTCAGCCTCCCTAGTACCTAGGATTACAGGCATGAACCATCAGCACCCAGCTTCTTGTTTTGTTTTTGCAGTACTGGAGTTTGAACTTGGAGCTTTGCTTGGTAAGCAAGCACTCTACTTACTGCTTGACCCACACCTCCAGCTAGGTTGGTGAGCTTTTTAATGATGATGGTGAATGGTGAGCCCACCTTACTTTATCTAATCCTAATCACTTTTGTTGCACTGTAGTTGAGATTACAGTTATAGCCTACAGGTGAGAGACCTGCAATTTTTACATTGTACCTTTTTTGGAAGTAATGGCTATTTGGATATAACATCATTTGAAGACTATACCAAGCTGTGGATACAGGCAGGCAGGCAGGCCTCAGGTGGCAAACAGGCCTTTGGTAGCAGTGAAGGAGAAATATACAAGAAACACACTTTAGTCGTGCCAAGTACCAAATGATTTCAAGGGTCTCTAACACCTTATAGGATGGACATTCCTCTGCTAGAAATTTTATCTCTTAAAAGTGATTTAATATACACCACGGCGGAAAATTGTTATGTGTCAGATGCTCTACTTAGGTACTTTTACAGTTACCCACTTTTCAAATAAGGAAACAGATGGGTTAAGTAACTCATCCATACTAACACAACTAATAAGGTATTCTGGATCTAGCAACCATACTTTTTTGGTGGGAGAGTGTGGAGTGCTACTGGCGTTTGAAATCAGACCTTTTACTTGCTAGGCAGGTACTCTACTACTTGAGCTGCACTCCAGCTTTTTTTTTTTAACTATTAGTTTAATTTTTTTCATGTATGGTTTCACTCTCTGTTCTCCTACCTCTACTTCTTGAGTAGCTGAGATTACAAGCATTCTGCTATCACACCTGGATTAATTTAGATGAGATTTTATTAACCCTGCTTGGCTGACCCTGAAGAGTAAACATCCCATCTCAGCCTCTTGAGTAGTTGTCAATACAGGTGGGGGCCACTGTGCCTTTTGTTGTTGTTGTTGCTGCTGGGGCTTGAACTCAGGACCTAGGCACTATCCCTGAGCCTCTTTTGCCCAAGGCTAGCACTCTGCCACTTTAAGCCACTTCTGGTTTTCTGGTGGTTAATTAGAGTTTCATGGACTTTCCTGCTTGGGCTGACTTTGAACTGCAATCCTCAGATCTCAGCCTCCTGAGTAGCTAGCATTACAGGCATGAGCCACTAGTGGCTAGCACTCTACCATTTGAGACACAGTGCCAAGTCTAGCTTTTTTAAATAGTTTATTGGAGATAAGAGTCTCATGGAAGCCAGGTGCCTGTGGCTCACGCCTGTAATCCTAGCTACTCAGAAGGCTGAGATCTGAGGATCTCGGTTCAAAGCCAGCCCAGGCAGGGACATCCGTGAGACTGTTATTTCCAGTAAACCACTAGAAAACCGGAAGTGGTGCTGTGGCTTAAGTGGTAGAGTGCTTACCCTGAGCTGAAGAGCTCAGGGATAGCACCCAAGCCCAGAGTTCAAGCCCCACCACTGACCAAAAAAAAAGAGTCTTATGGACTTTACTGTCTGGGTTGGCCTTGAACTGCAATTCCCTCACATATTAGCCTCCCCAGTAGCTAGGATTATATGTGTAAGCCACCAGTTCCCCCTCCACCCCCCCTTTCGTGTGTGTGTGTGTGTGTGTGTGTGTGTGTGTGTGTGCGCGCGCGCGTGGGTGCGTGCATGTGTGCACGCGCGCGCGCTGGCCTGAGTGACTTTTTCATTCAAGGCTGGCGGTAGCACTTGGGCCACGGCTCCATTTCTGGCTTTTTGGTGGGTTAATTGGACATAAGAATCTCACAAACTTTCCTGCCCAGGCTTGTTTCCAACCTTGGTCTTCAAATCTCAGCCTTCTGGGCTGGGAAGGTAATTCAGTGGTAGAGTGCTTACCTTGCATACATGAGGCCCTGGGTTCAATTCCTCAGCACCACATAAGCAGAAAAAGCCAGAAGTGGCACTATAGCTCAAGTGGTAGAGCGCTAGCCTTGAGCTAAAGAGCTGAGGGTCAGCGCCTAGGCCAAGAGTTCAGGCCCCACGACCAGCAAGAAACAACAACAAAAAAAAACAACTCAGCCTTCTAAGTAGCCAAGATTACAGTCATGAGCTACTAGTGCCCAACTTAAGTGTTCTACTCTGTGTGTGTGTGAAGTATTTTACTTTGTGTATGTATGCAAATGCTAGTACTGAAATTTGAACTCAGGTTATTCTGATTACTCAGCATTTTCCCTCTTGAGCCATACTTCTTCCACTTTTTTTTTTTTTTTTTTTGCTACCAGCCCCTAGCTAAGTGCCTTACTGTTAAGTTATATCCACAACTCTAGCCGTAGCTATTTCTTTCTTTCTTTTTTTTTTTGGTCAGTCGTGGGACTTGAACTCTAGGATTGGGCACTGTCCCTGCGCTCTTCAGCTCAAGGCAAGCGCTCTACTGCTTAAGCCACAGTGCTACTTTTGGTTTTCTAGTGGTTTATTGGAGATAAGAGTCTCACGGAGGGGCTGGGAAGGTGGCTCAGTGGTAGAGCGCTTGCCTTTCATGCCTGAGGCCCTGGGTTCGATTCCTCAGTACCACATAAGCAACAAAAGAAAAAAGCCGGAAGTAGCACTGTGGCTCAAGTGGTACTTCCAGCTTTTTTCTTTATGTGGTGCTGAGGAATCGAACCCAGGGCCTCAGGCATGCAAGGCAAGCACTCTACCACTGAGCCACCTTCCCAGCCCCATCGTAGCTATTTCTTAAATATCAAAATCATTTTGGAATACTGGGGGTGTGGCTCAAGCCAGTAGAGTACTTATCTAGCATGCTGATTCTTGTATTGCAAGGGAGGGAGGGGGGAATCATTCCATCCATCGTCAGTGACTCACCGCCTGTATCCTAGGTACTCAGGAGACTGAGATCTCAGGATCTTGATTCGAAGTCAGCACACAGTCCCTGAATGCGATTCCCAGTACTTTCATACAAATTAAATAAATAAAGACAACAGAAGCTGTATGTGGGTAAATCACACCTATAATTCTAGCTACTCAGGAGGCTGAGATCTGAGGATTGCAGGTTGAAGCCAGCCTGTGTGGGAAAGTCTTAGACTCTTACTGCCAGTTAATCCCCCAAAAACTAAAAGTAGAGCTGTGGCTCAAAGTGGTCGAGTGCCATGAGGGGGAAATTCAACACCCAGGCTCTGAATTTAAGGCCCACAACTGACTGCCTCCCCCCCCCAAAAAAAAAGACAACTAGTAGTGGCATTGCACCTGTATTCCAATGTACTTGGTGTTTATTTGAGGATCCATGTTTGAAGCCTTCCTGGACTGGAAAAGTCCATGAAACTCTTATTTTTAATTAACCACCAAAAAACTGGGAGTGGATCTGTGGCTTAGTGGTAGAGCACTAGCTTTGTGCACAGATCAGGGATAGGACCTAGGCTCTTGAATTCAAACCCCAGGAGTCACACACACACAAATCATAAGAAGTTTTCCAATTATCTGATCTGTCTTTACCTCTAACCACCTTACTATGATGCCTGGTAATAATATATGCTCAGAAAGGATTGAAAGAAGTCGGGTGCTGGTGGCTCACGCCTGTAATCCTAGCTACTCAGGAGGCTGAGATCTGAGGATCACGGCTCAAAGCCAGCTGGGGAAGGAAAGTCCCTGAGACTTATCTCCAATAAACCACTAGAAAACCAGAAGTGGCGCTGTGGCTCAACTGGTAGAGCACTTGCCTTGAGCTTAAGAGCGCAGGGACAACGCCCAAGCCCAGAGTTCAAGCTATATGACCAAAAAAAAAAAAAGAATGACTAAATTAACTATATTGTTCTACTTTTAAGGTTAAAAACGACAACTAACGCCAACCATGAAAGATCCAAGTCGCAGCAGTACTAGCCCAAGCATCATCAATGAAGATGTGATTATTAACGGTCATTCTCATGAAGATGACAATCCATTTGCAGAGTACATGTGGATGGAAAATGAAGAGGAATTCAACAGACAAGTTAGTTTTTGTGTACAAGCATGTACTTTTCTGTAGCACATAATAGCCTTCGAAGAATGCAATTGTAGCCAGGCACTGGTGGCTCATGTCTGTAATCCTAGCTACCAACCCAGGCAGGAAAGTCCATGAAACTCTTTATTTCCAATAAACTGTCCCAAAAAAAGCCAGAAATGGAACTCTGGCTCAAGTAGTAAAGTACTAGCCTTGAGCAAATGAAGTTCAAGGACAGCTAGGCCCTGAGTTAGCTCCAGGATTAGCAGGCATATGCGTGCACGCGTGTGTTTATTGAAATTACTTGGGTTACTTGTTTCATGTCCTACCCTGGAGATTCTGACTCAGGAGAAATAGGGTGGGAAACTTTCAAAAAGCTCCTAGATAATTCCAGTAAGCAATCAAGTTTAGAAAACACGGCCTATGCAGTTTAAGAGAATTCAAGAATTTGGAATAGACAGGCATAGATATTAGGATGCAAAACGGACAGTTTTTCACCTGAGAGCCCTAATTCATCAGCTTAAACAATTGGCAGCACTGTTTTCTGTAGAGAATGCTCATATATTGTAGCATCTGTTTTCATCTTCTTTCTTATTCCATTCTCCTTTCCCTGTCTAATCATGGTTTTAATAATCAGTATCTAGCTTTTTTTCTCTATATCCAGAGTTGTACATTCCATAGTAAAACTGATTGTCACTAAGGAATTCAGATTAGCCCTGCCTTGCCCTATCAGCTAATGATGCTTTTCTAGGCACTGTAGGAGTTGGATGAGGGCTTGTAGTAAGGTTTCATGGGAAATTCTGATATACATTCCTTGAAGAGTGTACTCCTTTGTTTTATTTCTTCATTACCAGTTGATGAAAAATAAAAGCATTCTAAGAATAAGTCCTAGAAAACCTTTAAACAGATCTTCTCAGGTCTTAATGCTAAGCATTTTTTTCCCTTTGCACAGAAGCAAAGAAAGTATGATTTATTATTTTAGAATTTCTGGTGCTGGGGCTGGGAAGGTGGCTCAATGGTAAAGCGTTTGCTTTGCATGCATGACCTGGGTTCGATTCCTCAGCATCACATAAGCAGAAAAAGCCGGAAGTGGCACTGTGGCTCAAGTGGTAGAGTGCTAGCCTTGAGCTAAAGAGCTGAGGGACAGCGCCCAGACCCGAGTTCAGGCCCCCAGGACTGACACCCCCCCCCCCCCCCAAAAAAAAATTCTAGTGCTGAGGATCAAATCCAGAGTATGTGTGTGTTTACACACGTGTGCCAGTACTAGGTCTTGAACTTAGGACCTGGGCACTGTCTCTCATCTTTTTCACTCAAGGCTAGTGCTCTGCCACTTTGAGCCATGGCTCCACTTCCAGCTTTTTGGTTTTGGTGATTAATTAGAGATGGACTTTCCTGCCCAGGCTCACTTCAAACTGAGATTTGAAGATCTCAGCCTCCAGAGTAGGATTATAGACATGAGCCATGGGTGGCCCACCTCCCCTTTTCCCCCCCAGTAATGGGGCTTAAACTCAGGGCCTGAGCACTATCCCCTGAGTTTTTCTGCTCAAGTCTAGTGTTCTACCTCAAGTCTAGTGTTCTACCACTTTGAGCCACAGCTCCACTTCCAGTTTTCTGGTGGTTAGACATGAGTCTCCTGCCCGTGCTGGCTTTGAACAATGGTCCTCAGATCTCAGCCTTCTGAGTAGCTAGGATTACAGGCATCAGTCACCAGCACCTGAACTATTTTTGATTTTGAGACAAGGTCTCAAGACTGGCCTTGATCTTTGCTAGGATTATAGGTGCATACCTATACCTTTATTTTTTTTTGCTTTTTTGGTGATATGGGGCTTTCAACTTGGTGCCTATTCCTTGCTAAACAAACATTCTGAGGGGGAAAATGATGGAAAGGTGATGCTGATCAAGATGCTTTATACACATAACAGGGCCTGTTACCCTAGCTGCTCAGGAGGCCTCAGCCTCCTGAGAATCGTGGTTCAAAGCCAGCCCAGGCAAGAAAGTCCATGAGAATCTTACCTCCAATAAACTACTAGAAAATTGGAAGTGATGCTATGGCTCAGTTGGTAGAGCGCTAGCCTTGAGCTGAAAAGCACAGGGACAGTGCCCAGGCCCAGAGTTGAAGCCCCACTACTGACAAAATAAATAAATAAATAAAAATTTACAAAAATAAAGGGGCCTGTTAAATTTAAACCTCTTTCATACACTATGTGATTCTTTTGTTTCTATTATATGTTCTTCCCCCATGGTATAACCCCTGTTTTCACTGGATTTGATGCTGGTGCTTTGCATCTTGTATTATATATTTTTTTGTAATTGGGGAGGGGAAGGGATATTGCAGAATGCTTAAATGAGGATGCAGGCTGACCCATTGTGACGACAAGATGCACCAGACATTATATTGAAAACGAACTTTACAATTCGGGGTTGGGGGTGGTGGTGGGAGGAGTTGAGGGGGGTGGGAGGAGTTTGAGGGAGGTGGGGAGGGAAGTGATGGTAGGGGGAAAAAAAGGAGGAGGTAACAATGCTCGCTATGAAATGTCTCTTACCCTACTCATGTAACTGTAACCCCTCTGTACAACATTTTTACAATAAAATAAATAAATTTAAACCCCTTGAAGAGAATAATAAAACAAGGGTTAGAGTCCTACTACTTCTGCTATGCCCTTTTTGCTTTAGTTATTTTTCAGATTTAGGGTCTTATACCTTCTGCCTGGTAGGCCTTAAGCCCCACTCCTATCTCTTCCCCTGTAGCTGGCATAACAGGCATATGCCACAATTTTGCCTTGTTAAGATAGGATCTTAGTATTTTACCTAGGGTTAGCCTCATATTATCATCATCCTATCTTTTTTTTTTTTTTTTGGTCGGCCGTGGGGCTTGAACTCTGGGCCTGGGCGCTGTCCCTTAGCTCTTCAGCTCAAGGCGAGCACTCTACCACTTGAGCTACGGCGCCACTTCCGGTTTTCTGGTGGTTTATTGGAGATAGGAGTTGGAGATAGGAGTCTCACGGTGTCTCCTGCCTGGGCTGGCTTTGAACCGCGATCCTCAGATCTCAGCCTCCTGAGTAGCTAGGATTACAGGCGTGAGCCACCAGCGCCCAGCCTCATCCTATCTTCTTTACCTCTCAAATAACTGGAATTATAGGCAAGTGCTATCACACACTACTGAACATTTTGGCTTTAAGTTATTTAGTTTAAGATATTTTAAGCTATCACCCATGATGTCTTACTAAATATGCTGTAATTTATCTTCTATTTATTGTAAATCTAGATAGAAGAAGAGTTGTGGGAAGAAGAATTTATTGAACGTTGTTTCCAAGAAATGCTGGAGGAGGAAGAAGAACATGAGTGGTTTATTCCAGCTCGAGATCTCCCACAAACTATGGACCAAATCCAAGACCAATTTAATGACCTTGTTATCAGTGATGGCTCTTCTCTGGAAGATCTTGTGGTAAAAATGTTATTTTTTAAAATCTTTTTAGACCCTACCACATCTTTCCCGTAAGTGGAAAAGCCAGCTACCTTCTATTAAGAAGAGTTCTACACCTCTTCCCTTCCAAAAATTGTACTGCTTAAGAGTGGGAGCAGGGGCCTCCCAATTTCATTGATGACAAAGAGTGACTTCTGGCAACAGTGTGGAGTCTTAGACCACTAACAGACTTCTTGCTACTGCTTTTGGCCTTGAAGTTGCCTTTTATTTTGTAGGTGGGATACACAAATATGTTAAAGAATTAATGAAGAAATGCAATATTACATATGACTTGCCTATATGAAAGTAGCATGATGAGAAGTTTTCTCTCATCTTGACATAAATATTTGGTGAGATTGGTAAAAAATGGAAAATTTTGAGCTGGAATGTGGCTTAGTGGTAGAATGCTTGCCTAGCATGCATGAAACCCTGGGTTCAATTCCTCAATACCACCCACACAGAAAAAGTCACAAGTGGCACTGTAGCTCAAGTGGTAGAGTGCTAACCTTGAGCAAAAAAGCCCCAGGACTGGCAAAATAAAAAAAGTGGAGAGGGGGTGGGAAATTTTATATGCAAGGTAAAATTGTGGAAGTCTTCCTATTCAAGTTTTTGTTGCGGTAACCTAGTTCATTTGGAACTTGTAGTAAGGAATTTTACTACAAGCTCTTGGCAGAAAAGTGACACAAACCTACTTTACATTTTTAGTTATTCTTGAGTCAGTGTCTTCTTACTAAGAATTATTTTTTTGTTGGTCATGGGGCCTGGGCACTCTCCCTGAATTCTTTTTGCTCAAGGGTTGTACTCTCCCACTTTGAGCCATACTGTTGCTTCTGGTTTCTGGTGGTTAATTGGAGATGAATCTCCTAGAATTTACTTCCCCAGCTGGCTTTGAGCTGCAATCCTCAGATCTCAAGCTTTCTCAGTAGCAAGGATTATGGGCATGAGCCACTAGTCCCTAGCTAAATTAAAGAATATTTTAAAGTCAAAATGTTCTATAGGGCTGGGAATGTGGCTTAGTGGTAGAATGCTTGCTTAGCATGAGTGAAGCCCTGGGTTCAATTCCGCAGTACCACATAAACCAAAAAAGCCAGAAGTGGTACTATGGCTCAAGTGGTAGAATGCTAGCCTTGAGCACAGAGAGGCTCAGGGACAGCGCGCAGGCCCTGAACTTGACCAGTTCTTCCCCCCCCCCCCCCCCCCCCAAAAAAAAAAGGAATGTTTTATAGGTCTAAGTGGTTACCTTTTTTGTTCACATTTATAATCTCTAGTTGATTGTCAAGATAGTTCTGTGGAATTTACTCACTGGACTCTGAAGTGTTTTTGCCATTTCTTCTTTCCACTATGGATTAGTTCCTAATCTGTATATCATAATTATCTATGAAACATCCAAAACAAAAATCAATGTCTGGGCTTCATCCTTGGCTTGGAGAATTATCCTTCTAGAAGTATTTTTCTAGAAGTAAGTATTTTTAAACAGCCTTCCATACAATTTATTATATAGCCATCCTTCCACCAGCCATTTGGAAACTCATTTTCCCAAAGGAGTCTGTCGAAACTCTGTCGTCTCTGTTATGGTAAATGATAGTAATCCAGTTGAACAGATCGTGATCTTAAAAGTCTGTTGGTGGGCTGGGAATGTGTCTTAGAGGTAGAGTGCTTGCCTAGCTAAGCATACATGAAGTCCTGGGTTCGAGTCCTCAGTACCACATAAACAGAAAAGGCTGGACATGCTGCTGTGACTTAAGTGGTAGAGTGCTAGCCCTGAGCAAAAGAAGCTTAGAGACAGTACTTAAGTAGGACCTGAGTTCAAGCCATGGGACTGGCAAAAAAAAAAAAAAATCTGTTGATGCATGCTTGCTAATGGACATTAGTCCTGTCACAAATAATCCCAGTTGCCCTGATGAATAAAGCCTTTTGGTAGGCTCATTGTATTTTACCCAGGCTCAATATAAATTTATATAATACAGAAACTAGTTTGATCCAGTCTATTTTTCCATAGCTGCCAAAAGAGTGTATAAACAAGTATTATGCTTTTATTTAAAACTTTATTTATTTTACTGTTTTGTTGGGGGTTTTTTTGTGTGTTTTTTTGGTGGTGCTGGAGAATAAGCCCAGGACCTTGTGCATTCTAAGCAGGCATTCCATGACTACACTACATCTCCAACCCTAAACTGTACACTGTAAAAACATTTCCCCTGGGGGAAGTGAAAGTATATCGTATCTAAAGAAAACCATTGTGTACAAATTATGAAAGTAAAATTATTGCTCTAATACGTTGTTTTAATGTTATTATTTGGTCTAAAAGTAAGTAACATTGGGGTTATATCCAGCATCATAGCCTACCAAAATGCCTACATAAATCTGGAATCTGTCCTGGTTTCTTTTTTATTTTTTTAAGTCAATTTACAACTCAAAATGTGAAAATCAGAGAATTTTCAGCTATTCTTTTTATACATTGTCATGTTGGCTTAGGAAAGTAAAGACTTAAATAAGTCTCTATTAGCTCTTAGAGACATTGGCTCAGTGTTTCCATTTTTTTAAGCTGATACAAAAATGGAGTCCCAGAGAGGGTAATTTATCCGAGGTTACACAGGAAGTTAGATAGGGGCAGGGCTGAGATTTCCAATTTAGGTCTTCTGGCTCCCCTTGTAGTTTCTTTTTCTGTTATTATACCATGTCTCCTGTGGGAATTAGAAGACAGCAATTGTAGAAAGACTACTCCAACTTTTCAGTGAGGACCAAAAAAATAAAATGAATCTACCAACAACCTACTAGTTATTTTAAGCATAATTTCAACATTAACATGTTTGTATAGTTTCAAACTATTTTGCAAAAGTTAAGTATCATATTGAATTCCTTATTCAGTCCTGTCTCTTTAATATATATGAAATAGTGGGTTTCTGTTTACACTTAAGCAAGCTTAATTGCAATTCCTACTTGCTCTAAGAAAGTTGATACAGGCTGATATCATACAAAATATGGCTTTCATCTCATACTCCATTTCCCTGCCATAGGTTGGTTAGTTTGTGCGAGTGGCCAAGTATAGTGTTATAATCTGAATTCTTTTGTTTGTATTTTTCTGAAAAATATTTTTGCATATGGATCTAAACTGAATGCTTCTGAGTTATTGAAGCCATCTGTAATGAACTTGCTTTTTTTTATGTACTTATTTTCCAGGTCAAGAGCAATCTGAATCCAAATGCAAAGGAGTTTGTTCCTGGGGTGAAGTACTAAAATATTTCAGTAGACGGGGCCCTCTTTTGGTGGATGTAGCACAATTTCCACACTGTGAAGGCAGTATTAGAAGACTTAATTGTAAAAGCTCTCTCTTGTCACTGTGTTACACTTATGCATTGCCAAAGTTTTTGTTAGTCTTGCATGCTTAATAAAAGTGCTGAGACTGTTATTAAGTAAAAAGCTGTCAAACATTTACTGAAAATAGAATTGGCCCCATGGCTTAATGTAAAGACAGCGAGGAAAGAAGCACCAGTCAAGTTGTGACAAAGCACCAAATTAAAAAAAAACTCTAAATCTTACTGAATTGTCGTTTTTAAGGCTAAACTGGTCCCTAGAAATTACTAATGTTTTTTAATATCTACACTTTGTTTTAAAAAAAAAAAGAATTCTAATTGTTAAGCAGAATTCTCAATTACATTTGTCCTCATCAGAAAGAATCTCCTTTTTTTGGTTCATTTGTTAATTTCATTACAGACAGATATGTCTTTGGTGATTGAGAGTACAAAACGTGAACTGATAAATAGCTAGTTTGGCTTTTCTGGTTTGTTATCATAGTAGAAATTGAATTCTCTTGAGGTTGTATCTGAAGAAGTATTTGATTTGAGAACTGCGTCCTTTGAGGATTCGTATCCATAGCCATAACTGTGTAAAGTGTAAGTTAGGACCCACACCAGCTCGTAGTCCAGTAGAACAAAGAGATTATAAAATGATTTGAGTGGTGCTTTTCCTTGCATTGTTAACCATCATGACAGTAGTCTGCAGCACAATTTTTCTTTTAACAAAGCTAGAACAGTTTTGGCTTCTTAAACTTTATATTTGGGTAGGTTAAGCTGCCATACGTGTTCAGTGTGAATAGTGTTTAAGTTGAAAATATTGTAAAAAAATTATATTTTTTCAAAAATATTTAAAAAAATAAATAATAGTAGAACTGAGCTGATGCTTGTGTTTATTGGCAATAGACTGCAGACTCTCCAGTAGTGATACTTTAGTGGGGACCCAGTACCTCAGGACAACCCTACTGGCAAAATGTGTTGAGAACAGGATTTATTAAAAGCCACAGTAGTAAGTATACTGCTGTGCAAGTGTCTGTCCACAATACAGCAGTAAAATAAACCCCATTGCTCTGTCCTTTTTATTGCCTGAGACTGCAGTGTCAGGGCATTGTAGGTAGCTATGTTAACAAAACTATGGTTGAGCTGAGGTATGGCTCAACCATACCTCTGGCAGTGGCAGAGTACTTGCTTAGCACTGGCTTTTCTTTGGCTAAAGATTAAGATTTATTCATTTCTTGTTTACATTCTTCATGGAAGGCGTAGCAGGTGGCTTCCCCTCTTTTCATTGTACTGATCACCTAGGAGCCTTACACATGGTAGTCAGCTGTCTATGACCAAGCTACACCCCAATAGGACTCTTTTTTCTTTATTTTTTTCAATAGCTGTCTTAACCAAGTACTAAACAGGCCCTTTTTTTTTTTTTTTTTTTTTGTCGTCGGGCATGGGGCCTGAACTTAGCCTGGGTGCTGTCCTTCAGCTCTTCAGTTCAAGCTCTACCACTTGAGCCACAATACGCTTCTGACTTTTTCTGCTTATGTGGTGCTGAGGAATCGAACCCAGGGCCTCAAGCATGCAAGGCAAGCACTCTACCACTGAGCCACCTTCCCAGTCCCTAAATAGGCTTTAAAAAAAATAACTCTGAAACAGCTAATCATATTTGACTCTTGTTCTTTCTGGAAACAAAATTCAGAATATTTCTTCTGCTCAGTTGGCATAGGCTGTGTTGCCAGCTGTCAAAATGTGAGACTTAAAAATATGTATGTATATATATGGGGTTTATTGGTCCTTTCTCTAAACTTACAGGGCAAATGACTTCATCTGCACATACTGCTAAGTTGTTACAATGCAGTGTAATGGGCACCAATCAGAGATTTAAGCACTATGACCTAATTATGAAGAGCAAAGATTCTAGCCACACTTCCTAGATGAGAGTCCTGTGATCATGGATAAGTCACTTAATTTTACTATGCTTTAGTTTCTATATTCTCTAGATTGCTGAGGTAATATTCAAAAGAGTTTTAGACTTCAAAGCATTTTTGTGTGTTTGATTCTGGGGATTGATGTTAGGGCTTCATAAATGGTAAGAAAGCACTCTACCACATGACCCACAGCCTCAGCATTAGAATACTTGATTTCAGACTTTTAGATTAGGAATTGTCAGAATAGTCTGTAAATGTTTCAGAATCAAAAAAGCTCCAAAATCAGGAACACTTCTCATACAAAGCATTTTGATACCTATCATAACAACACCTGTTTCTAGATTATGTGATTTATTGAATACACATCAAGATCTTAAGACTGTTCTGGCACATAGGAAGTCTTATTTGAGTGATTAAACCACCAGAAAACCGGAAGTGGTGCTGTAGCTAAGTGGTAGAGCACTAGCCTTGAGTTGAAGAGCTGAGGGACAGCACCCAGGCCCAGAGTGCAAGCCACACGACTGACAAAAAGACTTAACTCTGGAAGTGTAATTTAGTGGTAAAGCATCCAAAAACAACCACAGCAAGAACCAGGGTATCAGTGGCTCATTCCTATAATCCTAGCTACTCAGGGGGCTGAGATCTGAGGATCATGGTTCAAGACCAGCTCATACAGGAAACTATGAGAATCTTATCTTCAATTAACCAACAGGAAGCCGGAGGTGGCTCAGAGTGGTAGAGCGGTAGCCTTGAGTATAAGCTCAGGAATAGCACGCAGATGCTGAGTTCAAACCCCACAACCAATAAAAGGAAAAAAAGAAGAAAAAAAACCCATATCAAGTGATACAGGTATCTCAGCACTGAAATGGGCTCAGAAAGCTGAGACAGGATCTTATGTTTTAAAGCTAGCCTTGGCAACATAGCCAACTCTCTGTCTTATAGATCAATCAATCAATCAGTGTAGACCAGGCTCCACTTGCTTTGATTGAAACTAACTTTTTAGAAAAGAGGCACATTTAAACCAAATGGGGATGGAACATTTCAGAGCATCAGCTTCCTACACGTTTTGAAACCCTAGGGAAATGATCACTTCATTAGGGCTTGTATTGCATAGTTTTGATGGCAAGTCATGTCAGAATGTTTTAATTTTATGGCCACTATTGAAACAAAACTTTTCTGTATTAGTATTATCAAACTTTTTCAAGCTAAATGTCAAGTATTTAGCATATTGGAATGCAAGGATGAGGCTGCCCATGACTGCTTGTGGGCTCCACTTGGTGCAGGTTCTACCCAGGTAACTGGGAAGAATAATAGGTCATCATATTTATGACGTAACTACTGGTCTATACTAGTTGGAAATTTCACTTCTTACTATAAAATGTTGAAAGAATTCCACCCAGAGTCCAATTGAGGTGTTAACTCAGTATACCTACTCTTTGGGAATATTCAAGTATATGGGGGGAAAAAAACAATAGAAATTTGGTTTCCTTTTGCTGAAATGGAATGTTTGAATATTAAATTCTCCTACAAAAGCCATAGATGCATCCTACCTTTCTTGGAAGTAGTATTTCAGACCTTGGTGCACACAGACCCAGTTTCTATATTTTCTGGAGTGTCTTCTGGAACTGAAGGCTGATTTTTTGACCTTGTAGAAAATCCTCTGAAGACTGGGCATATAGGAATGTATTTCAGAAAGGCAATCCTTTTTACTATGCCCATTCCAATGGGAAAATCATAGCTCTTCAGACTAGCAGATGTTGCACTGCTGGCATGAGCCCCTGCTTTCCACTGTATTAAGCCTCGTTCCTCTGGGCTCCCTGGAGAAAAGACAATATAGTCATTACCACAACCCAAAACTTCAGCTGTCTTCCCTTCTCATAATCCAAGGATGATTTCTAGAATCCAATGTCTGGTGTTTTGTGTTTTTCCCCCCATATTACTGAGAGTCAAATTAAGGGTTGTCTACATGCTAGGTAATAGTTCTCTAATCCTTACATTTAAGCAAACAAAAAAATACTGTCTGATAACCTGGCACTGATGGCTCACACTCAAAATCCTAGCTTCTCAGGAGACTGAAATATGAAGACTATGGTTCAAAGCCAGCATGGGCAGCTAAATCTGAGAGGCCTTTTATTTCTAAATTAAAAAAAAACAAAAGTGGGCGTGTGGCTCAAGTGGTACATTGCCTACTGTGAGTAAAAAGACTAAGAAGAGAGTCCTTGAGTTCATGCCCCAATACTGGTACAAAGAAAATTGAAGCTGGGGCTGGGAAGGTGGCTTAGTGGTAGAGCGCTTGCCTTGCATGCATGAGGCCCTGGGTTCGATTCCTCAGCATCACACAAGTAAAAAGAAAAAAGCCGGAAGTGGTGCTGTGGCTCAAGCGGTAGAGCGCTAGCCTTGAGCTGAAGAGCTGAGGGACAGCGCCCAGGCCCAGAGTTCAGGCCCCACGACTGGACCCCCCCTCCCCCCCCCCCCCCAAAAAAAAATTGAAGCCATGGGGCTGGGAAGGTGGCTCAGTGGTAGAGTGCTTGCCTTGCATGCATGAGGCCCTGGGTTCGATTCCTCAGCACCACATAAGCAGAAAAAGCCAGAAGTGGCGCTGTGGCTCAAGTGGTAGAGCACTAGCCTTGAGCTGAAGAGCTGAGGGACAGTGCCCAGGCAGAATTCAGACCCATGACCGACACAAGAAAAGAAAGAAAAGAAAATTGAAGCCAGGCCCTGGTGGCTCACGCCAGTAATCCTAGCTACTCAGAAGGCTGCAGTCTGAGACTGCAGCTTGAGGCCAGCCTGGGCAGGAAAGTGCAAGACTTCTCCAATTAACCACCAAAAAGCTGGTAGTGAAGCTGTGGCTTAAGTGGCAGAATGCTAGCATTGAGCAAAAGAGCTCAGGGATAGCATCCAGCCTAAGTCCAAGTCTCAGGACTGGCACCCAGGGGGAAAGAAATGTTGAATTCATTTCTTTGTGTTTGTGTGGTATGGGAGAGGAACCCAGGACTTCCAACTTGCTAAACAAGCATTCTGGGGCTGGGAAGGTGGCTCAGTGGTAGAGTGCTTGCCTCATATGCACCAGGCTCTGAGTTTGATTCCTCAGCACCACATAAAAAGTCTGTGGCTCAAGTGGTAGAGCACTAGCCTTGAGCTGAAGAGCTGAGGAACAGTGCCCAGGTCCAGAGTTCAGGCCCCACTACCAACAACAACAACAAAACAAGCATTCTAATCCATGTGCACACGCATGCCAGTGGCTCATGCCTATATTCCTAAGCTACACAGGAGTCTGAGATTTGAGCCAGCCCCGACAGGAAAGTTTGCTACTTCTATTGCCAATTAACCACCAAAAAACCAAGTGGTACTATGGTTCAAAGTGGTAGAGCACCATCCTTGAGTGAAAAAGCTCA